CTGTCCATTGTTTCCAAGGACAGGCAAATGGGTGCAAAAAGTATTTGGGTTATGAAGAAGGGACTCAAGGCAGAGTCAGAAATTAACTGGCTTCTGCTATTGACTCCTGGTGCTAATGTGAAAGAGCTGTTCTTTCATGATGCTTTCCTGCAACAAGCTTGCCAATCATCTGAAAACAGGTGATATTGTGGAAGCTGAGTGTTACTAGAATCTGTGTAACAGATATATATTTAATATTTGTATTGATATGTTCATATGCCTGCAACTGTTCCTCTGAAACCACAAGCAGTTCGCACAGATAGCCTTTCCTCTTACAACTTTGCAAAATATGTTGAAGCCAGTTATGGCTTTAACAGATCACCTTCCCTTGAGAAGGCAGGATGGTTATATTGCCCTAATTGTCAACTCCTGTGATTATATAATAATAAGATCAGTGCTGTCCTTAGAATAGTAAAGTTGGTACAAGTTATGTAAAGTGATTCAATACCTCTAATTTTGCTTTACTCGGCTGCAAGTTAATATATATCCACCAAATTATCCCATTTAACATGGGAGGGACTGTGGAGGAGATGAGTTTGGAAAGAGGACTAGGCCTTCTGATTAAAGCTATATTATCTATTCTGGCATGGCTATTTTAATGACTGAGGTATATTAACATCTATGGCAATAGCCTTACTTGGTGACCATATAGATTTACCCTGAATTTTAAAATGTTTTTATGTTGCATGCTGCCCAGAGTCACTAATTGAGATGGGCAGCTATAGAAGTTGAATGAATAAATAAATAAATAAATAAATAAATAAATAAATAAATAAATAAATAAATAAATAAATAAATAAATAAATAGCTATTTCTCCCTCCAATAAGCAGCTGGGGGAGTCCTTTCTTTACCTCCAGGTTTCTGATTCCCTGGAGCTGATCTGTGGGTCAGAGATCTGGTGAGTAAAGGGATAAAAAAGGCATCTTTCCCACTTCTGCCCTCCCCTCAACCCAGCAGGCAAGATGCATAGGAGGAACATGGCCTGTAAGAGTGCTAGATCTATGTTCTGACTGCTCTTGACCATGGATTCCCCAGCCTCCATTTCAGCACCACAATAAATTGTTTCTCATGCCTTCCTGCTTCATTGCTCTCTGTCGCACTCCGGAATCTCTCTTCCTCCCCTTATTGCTGATCAGCCATCATTTGAAGAAAGAAGCTTATAATCGTCAATTAAGTTCAACGGGTGTGAGGGGAGGGAAGAAGATGAAGTTATTTTTTTTCCTATCCCTCAATCCAAAGGAGCCCAAGAAAACCATGTCTAAATAGAAGTAGGACAAAGGCTCTGTAGCCACACATAAAGTGTGCCTGTCTGGGCACATGAAACAGAAAGAAGCATGACTGTCACATTAAAAAAAATAAAAACAATACTGCCATTATTGTTTTTATAAATAACTCAAGGCAACCATCACACACAATATTACTTTTTCTTCCCATTGTTCTCCAAACAGGAACCCTGGGAGAGGAATTGGGTTACTGACAAAAAGTGACTGGTCCAAAGTCATCTGATTGGCTTTCATGCCTAAAGCAGGACTACAACTAATTGTCTCCTGGTATCTAGTCTGCTGCTAGAACAAACTGGTCCTTTTGTACTCTTGGGGTGCATAGAGCTTTCATCCCTAAAATATCCTCTAGCTTCATCTACACAGTGAAGCCCTATCAGGCTTAAGGTGAAGCCCTTGATCAAGCCTTTATCTTGATCAAGATAAAGACTAGACACTTTTGATTGCGCATTAAAACCAGTCCAACACATAAACAATGAATTGCAGCCCATCATGGTCAATAAAATTACTTTTCCTTTACAAGCTTTTCTTTTGCAAGCCCCTTGAGAGCTGTATGCAAGGAAATTTCATGTTAATGTATGCCGATTAGTGTACATTTAAAGTGACAATAAAGCTATTCTAAGTTCTAAGTCTAATTGGGCTGCTCCTAATTACAGGCTGTTCTGCCCCAACAACCTAATACAGCTTATTAACAACAACAAACTACAAATAAAACAAAAAGGAAATACCTCTCCTTATAACAATTCTAGAGAATAAATGTAATCAGTTCAGAAAAAATACACCAAGTTCTAATTACAGCAATTAATGTTTGAGAACTTTATTCTATTTATCATCTTCCACTGTGATATATGCCATCAGAAGGGATCAGTGCCAGTCTGCAGAATATATAGAATGAACTGGCAAAATTACATAAAACGGGCATAAAGGTAATCTCAGAAATTTCAGTATTCAAAGATTAACGGGAAGGGGGAGGGAACTTCAGCTGTCTAAGGAACTCTGCCACTGACCTCAAAGTGACCATTTTTGAACAATGGGAAGTTCAGACTTCTAGCCTGGAGCCCCCTCACGAACTGTTCAAGTTCTTCAAGGTTGGGTGGCTTCAGAGCACACTGCACATCTAGCAGTGTGCACAAAGCTGCCCATTCTGGAAGCCCTGCCCAAAGTGGTTTAAGATTATGTGAATTGCTTTGTCAAGGTGAATCACTTCACCTCTTCGCTTCAATGAAGCGAATCATGTTGCTTCCACAGCACAAATTTCTTTGTTGAAAAGAAGTTGTTTGGCATAGGTCTACGTATTACCAAGTATGCTTGTGGACATTCAAACTTAACAACTCTGTAATTACTTTCACCCTCCCATTTTAAATTGACTGCACAGTTTATAACCAATCACATCAATCTATGTGTGTGTGTGTGTATGTGTATATGTGTGAGTGACTTAAAATAATGCTTCATGTATTGATGGAAATGTGCTGCTCAAAACTGAAACTTTAATTATTATGGTGTTATGCATTAAGTAGCATCCTTTTGGACAAAATGATTTGGAAACAGAAAGTCATTTAGAAACAGGAAGACAATTAAGTTTTAAGTTTTTATAGTTGAAAAAGATTGATACTATAAGTCTGGCAACGCACTCATTCTACATCAATTACACAATTGTTTGTAGGATTCTTAACTCTTCCTGTATTTTTATACAAAAACTACAGCATTGAAAGAATATGGAACAAATGTTTAATCGTTTAATTATAAAACATGGCAGAAATCAATATATCAAGTTTTACCTAATGTGTAAAGCAATCATGCTTTTAGGGGTTTTCCTTTTTCTTTCTTGCCTATAAGGTAATATATAGGATTATTGATTGATTCTGTGTCATCAAGCCATGTTCAACTCTTAGCAACCATATATGTAGACCTCCACAATGATCAGTCTCCCTACTGGCCCTTCAGATATTACAAGGGTACATCCATCACCACAGAAATGAAGTCCACCCACCTTGCTTGGTGTTTCCTTCCAATTTTGCCACAATTATAAAGGGAGTAGAATGATCCTTGCATAATACATCCAAGATATACGTAATTCAAGTCTGGTCAATTGTGCCTTGAGTGAAAACTCTGGTTTTGTTTAATGATCATTTGTTTGTTTCCTAGGTCAGGATTGGTGATACTGGTTTCATTGTCAGAAGTCTTTTCCAATGAAATATAGTTTAAAATTTTTAATTGTATTTTTTCCTACTAAAATTTTTAACAACCCATGTTATAAATTGCTGTCACATGTTTATTTTTAAGCGCACACACCTAAAGTTTCATGGAAAAACCATACTAAAAGATTTTTAATTCATCTTCTTTGTGAAAAATTGCCACTGTTTTACAACTGTTCTATTCATTTGTTGAACCTCTGACATATTTTTTTCCTTTATTTTATTCCTTCTTGACAGATAGAATCAAAGGGATGGAGTAGTTGTCATTAGTTGCTAACAAATCATACAACCAATTGGCTCTGGTAACCTGGCTATGATGCACAGGACAAACAAAGAAAGCCACACCATACTAATTTGAAATAGAACAAAACTGACTGTGGCAGGAACATATCTTCCTGTCTCCCAGGAAATTAGGCTGTCATACCCATCATCTTTACATGTTCACTTCTGTTAATAAGAGAAACCACACAAATTCACATAAATGCACATTAAATGCATAGTTCTAATGTTTGCCTTCCCTAGCATTTCTTCACTCCTGGCAACATTCTACCAACATTCCTTTTATTTCATCATTGATAAGAAACTTTCTAACTTTGGTGGGCTCACTCTAAGACTGTATCCATTAATTTGTCCTTAATGTGTTGAGCATGGGGGAAAAAAGCTTTACTTACATGTTTGTCTTGTGGTTTAGCATGTGTGTCAATCCAGCCCATTTGGGCAGTTTCTATTCAATATATTTGGACAACCCAGGACATTGATCAATGTACAAGCAGGTTAAAGATGCTGTGTGAACACAATCTAAAAACTCTGTCTTGACACATGCCTCCCAGTACATACTATACAAGCTACCCATATATGAATGAAATATTTTGCTGTAGTTTATGAGTTTTTCCAAGAGGCAAGAGAGTAAATTTCCCTTGCCCACTCAGTGTTTTGGGTAGCTGAATATGCTCTCATCAGGGGGCTCTCCTAGAGCAAGATCCCAGGAGATTCTTTGCTGCATGTTTCACTGATTTCCTTTCGGTCCTCCCATTTAGAGTGCAGTACTGCAGGCTACTTCTGTTGATCACTGCCTGCCAGCAGTTTGGCAGATCAAATCTTACCAGGCTCAAGATTGACTCAGCCTTCCATCCTTCCTAGGTTGGTAAAATGACCCAGACTGTTGGGAGAAATATGCTGAATCTGCAAACCACTTAGAGAGGGCTGTAAAGCATTATGAAGCGGTATATAAATCTAAGTGCTATTGCTATTATGCCCATCTCAGACCTTGGGTAGATCCTTTATTGCTGGTTCAATTATAAACAAGATTGCAGACAGATAGGAATTGGCCTTTTTGGGCCAATAATAATCGCTTACCATACCATAACAAAGATTATACTGACCATGTTTCAGAAAAAGAAATGCCACTTTCAAACCTCCTGTGACAAGACAGACAAACACCGAGCATTTCCAGGGTGACATTGGGTAGGAGAGAGAGTTGCTCACCATAGTCTTTCTTGCAATACTTCTTCATGTTTATCTTCAGCTTCCCTTTGGATGCCTTGCAGTAGGTATCACAGTCTTTGGGGATGGACAAGAAGAGAAAGAAATATAGATATAGATATGTACATATATACACATACATTAGAAAGTTAGTCTTAATACGCATGAGGGCATGTGGGAAGAAGGGAGGGATGCAGCAAAGGGGAAGGGAAGCGAGAGAGCAACTTACTCTCTGCCATGAATAAGCAGCGTGCCTAGGAGATCCATCTGCCAGGACCTGATTGGGTCATCTAATGGGGGCATTCATTGAAAAACCTTCTATATTCCAAAGAAAGCCCTTCACAAAAGAAGCCATCCGCCTCTCCTTTCTTGTCCTCCCCTCCTTGTCTGATGAATTTTTTAGCCTGTCTTCTGCTGCCTGCTGCAACTCAGCTGCCTCCATGGGAGACCCTGGGCCTCCCTTATTGTACCACCCAGATCTTTAGAGAGCCACAACTCTTCCCCCCCCCCTTTCCCGGTTCTTAAACGGCAAACTGGAGCCTGATTAAAGCCCACAGAGGCCTCTTTGTCACCCCTAACCCAGACCTGTGTCAGGCTTTGGCATTCATTGCAGAAGGATTCTGGCTGGGGTCACCCCTCCACAAAAGGGGTCAGAGAGGAAATTAGCAGCCCATGAAGCATTAGCAAAGCCTTTGGCGTCCACTCTACTGGAGTGTGCAAATAAAATGCCCCAGTGGGATTGCTTCATTTCTAATAGGCCCTACTGCTGTGATACAATGGTTTTACTCCTTCTGAACATCATCCTGTGTTCCAGTGCTACTAATGTAATGCAGCACAGCCACTTTGGCAGAGCCTGCTGGAGCTATTTTGCATCATTTGGAACATGGGGAGCTCAGTTATGCTTTGTGCATCAAAGGCAGATCCTCACAGCCATCATCGGTTGGGACTGAACGGAGCTCTTGCGACTTGCTCTAGCTGCTTATTATTCTATTGGAAAGACCAAAAAGTGCTTACTCTGGAATGGCATTCATGTTTATTCAAATAAACCAGGGCCGAAGAGGTATATATGTTTCATTCTTGTGAAACAATCTCTAATGTACACACCTTGTTTATCTCCTAGAACAGTGGTCCCCAACCCCCGGTCCGCGGACCGGTGCCGGGCCGTGGAGTACCTGGCACCGGGCCGCGCAGCGGCCGGGGGCCATGATCGCTGCAGCGGCCGGGGGCCTAAGGGAAAGTCGCTAGGCCTACGGGACAACGTTAGCTTTTGGGGCGGGAGCTGTATTTTGGCTGGTCGGTGAGGGAGGGGAGGTAAGCTAAAGGGGCGTGAATTAAGGCCGGGCGTTCGGTTGCTGAGCAGCGCACGCAAATTGGTGGCTGGGGTGGCCGGGCGCGTGCCTGGGATGGTGTGCGGAGCAGGGCCACCGGACTGAGCCTCTCTCAGAGGCGGTTGGTGGGCGTGTGCCATCGCGAGGTTTTGCCGCGAGGAATGTGAGAAGCCCAGGTGGTTGTTTCCTCTCCCCCTCTTCCCCGCGAGCTCTCGCCGGCGCCGGGCTTTCCCCTCGCTCATCTGCGGCCGCCGTTTTTGTCTCCCGCCGTGGGAAAGGAGCGCTGCCTAAGGGGGCCGTGTGGACGTGTGAAACATTTGAAATGCCCTTTTCTGTTTAGATTTCAAACTTTGAAATAGAGAAGTGTGCATGAAGGAAGAGAGACAGACAAGCACTCTTAATGCATATTGTATATTCTCTCTCTGCGTGTGTATTATATACTCTTAATATGCACTCTTAGTGTATATTGATTATGAAATATTTGCTGCTGCATGTGGTGAATGCATTTCATAACTGTTGCCATTTGGTTATTGTGTAAATTATTAGGGAGACCACTAGCTCAGAGACTTAAACTTCAATTTGTACAATTGTATTCTTTAAAAGTTTAGCTACACTTTGTTGGCATACTTTGTTGTATTCTTCGCTATGTACGGTAGTAAGTGATTATAAGCTTTAGCAGTCTGTAATCTATTCTGTATATAAGATGCTATACAATGATGAAGGATTTCAGGATCTTTTTATGTTAAACATTACTTTTTAAAATGTGGGCTAAAAAAGCCATGATTGATTGTCACACAGTAAATTACAGCCAATTAGGATGTGTGCTTGATAAACACATAATGAACATTATGGTTTCTACCCTGGCTTCAGGGAAGAGACTCCCTCCCACCCCTGCGCGCGCTCAGCGGGCCACGGTAAAATTATCAAAGGCTGACTGGTCCGCGGCGATAAAAAGGTTGGGGACCACTGTCCTAGAAGGCCTCTGGAGCCTGGAGAGGGTGAAAAACAGACCGGGCCCACTGGAAGTCAGAAAATGGGCCGTTTCTGGCATCCAGAGGGCCTCTGGGGATGCAAGGAAGACTTTTTTTGCCCTCCCTAGGCTCCTAAAAAGTCCCTTGAGCCTGGGAAGGGTGAAAAACGGATGTACCAGGCCCACCGGAAGTCAGCAAATGGGCCGTTTCCGGCCCCCGGAGGGCCTCATATTATTTTAAATGTGTGTGAAAGACATTGCTCTCTTCATAAAAACTACTGAAAGTAGCAACATGGGGATCTGTAACAATTTCCTATCTATGAATGGCTATCTTGTTAGTTTATTGAAAGCAAATAGCAATCAAATAAAGAGCTATACATTACAAAATGTTTAATCACCATCACCATCTTGCTAAGCACTTAGAATAAGGTTTGGCATATTTCATACACTATGGAAATATAATATGTAAAAACCAGTAACATCACAACAGGGTTGCTTTGCTGCTATAATCATTATACTGTGGTTTTTCCAAGGAACTCAGTCCTCCTGGCTCTCTCTACATATATAGTCATGCTTCATATTTTTGTTGGCATTATTTTGATAGCTTGAATCTATTCCATTCCAGAAAAAGGCAGCAGTATCAGAAGCAACAGGGACACAGGAGCTGCCAAGAATTAAAAGAATGTCCCAGATAACTGCAGAGGAAGCAGAATCCAGGTGCGCCTTCCACTGAGCAATTGTCCAATCACTTCTCTATTGATTAATGGAAGGATAGTTCTCCTGGAACTGCTAATCAATACAAAGGTCCCCAGTAACTATAAACTAAGGTCTACAGATAAAGTAGCCAATAAACCATCTTAGAGGAGAAAATGACTCAATTGAAAAACATGCCTAGATACAGCACAGATCAGGTCTCATCTGAGTACCATTTTAATACTACTAATCATGAGTAGTTTATTGCATTGCTTCTGACATATTTTGATTTATTTAATCCCACAGGGTCAGGGTAATGGTCTCTTTGCTTCCCACCATCCCTGAATGCAAACTCATAGCCACCAAATCTAAATCTGTGAAGCAAACTTGATTTGATGGTGAAAAGATATTTAAGTGAGCAAGTTGCCTCTTTCAACATTTTTTTTCCTAGGATCATGCAGCACAAGCTCAGGAAAAGATACCGTTTATTTGAAGAGTTGCTGATTAAAATAATATATGGTTTTTTCCCCCTTCCACTCAAATGTGTTTCATTCTCAGAGATTGCCAAGACAATTCCCTGTATATATATTTTTGGCAAAGTTTTTCAGAAGTGGTTTGCTATTGCTGCCTTCTAAAGGCTGAGAGAAAATAACTGGCCCAAAGTCACTCAGCTGGTTTTGTGCTCAAGGTGGGATTAAAAGTCACAGTCTCCCAGTTTCTAACCTGATAGCTTAAACACTACACTAAACTGGCTGTTGTGATATATATTCACACACAATCTCTTTCCATTCAAATCCAGATCACTGCAAAACCCTGATTGTCTTACCTACTTTTATTTCTGAATCTTTTAACTGTTCTTGAATTAATGCAGCAATTATTTCTTCCTGTCCAGCTATCCATATGGGCCTTAGCATTGGCTCTTAACTCTCAAATCCTACATAGAACCCATCCTTGGCTGCACATAGAAACCAGATGGGCAGGAAAAGGATTCAGGTGGTTGAGTTCAGGCTACAGAAAATCCAATGTAATTCCTCTTGGACTCTACAGAATTAGCTAATCCCAGATGACTTCACAAGAAGTTCTCCAGCCATCTCATTAGATTTGAACACATCAAACCACCATCTGTCTGTCTGTCTTCTGGTCAGTTATATCCAGAGACTTTGTAGAGATCCAATCCAGAGTAAATAAACTACCCAATTAGATGGAATAATGGATGGATCAGATCTGTTCCAATTTTTCCCTAAAACTCATCTTTGATTCTTCCATTATTACCATTCACTAGAATACAGCATAACAAGCTATGTAGCCCTATGCTGACATGCTGTCACATTAACATAGATGAGACTATAGATGAGACCAATTCATACTTTTTATCATTTATTCTTGCTCCATTCTTAATTAAAGCTACACCGTCATTTCCCTTTCATTCATTAATTCTATGGCACAAAACCAGAAGACATAGATTCAGAACTATTACATCCTTCTGCTTCTTAGTTTTACAACATATTTTTTCATTTCAATAATTAATTTATGCTATTTATATACCTACTTTTGTTAGGAAGCCAGGAATTTCATCACTGAATTCTTTAAGAATTCTCAGGTGGATGCCATCCAGACTTGGTGATTTGTTTCTGTAGGCTGTCTCAAGATGTTTTGCAATATCTTCATCTGCTACTTTAATTAGCTTTATTTGTTCCAATTCATTCCCTGAAAAAGTCAATACTGGGCCAAGTTTCTGTCTCTTCTATGGTAGCAGAGACTGTATACATTCCTCGAGCTTCTCATTCAGTCTGTGGCTATCTAATGGCGGAACCATTGTTCTGGACTTTTTCCATTCAAATACATTTAATTTTTTTATTGTTTCCTAGGTGTTTTTTTTTACCTCAAATTGTTTTTTTAGGTTCCTTTTATTGCCCTACATTTTTTCTGCTTCTCTTTCTGCTCTCTGTTAGGACAGGTTATAAGGAAGCCATCTTAACTTTGACAGGTTCCTGGATGTTGGTTGACCCTTCATTACATTGGGCAAAACATTACAGTCAAGCCTCAATTTTGTACTTTTAAATATCCTTATGAGGATATTTAATTAT